CCACTTGCTACGCCAATTTGCGCTACGGCGCCATTTGGCGCCCCTCTGGCGTAACAACTTTTTTCCGCCACATTATGGTGAAAATCTGAAAGCACTAGTTACTGATGGTCTTTATAATGAACATTATATCTATTCTTGGTGTTTTTAGAGCAAATTGGGAAGCTCCAACCTAAATGCAAAAATTTTGTCATTATGAGGGATTGAACCTTGGACCATTTCCTCACCTTTTTTGGCCTTCGCGGGGCCGCTCAGCGAAAATGGACCTCGGTTTCGTAGTCTACGCATGAGCTCCCATAACATACAGAAAACCGTTTCGAAAAAGCTTTCCACATCCTGAACGACCCCCTTGTTAGTCCTGATTGGATCCAATAGTGAGAGGGTGCAGGCGAGCAGGAAACAGGTGCTAAATAGCGCCAACGACTAAAACGAATGTCATATTCGTAATCAGGGCCTCAAATAACCCCCATACGCAAGTTTACAGCGAATTTGGTGAAGACACCCTTGGCGCCAACTGGCGCCAAAATGGATATCATATTTGAGATCAGGACCCTCGAAAACCCCCATGGGAAAAGTTTCAGCGGAAAAAAATTTCAACTTTTTCGGTGAAATTTTGAAGTCAGGATATTTTTTCTTCAATAAAATTCTAGTGGATAGAGATTTCCTCTGCCCAGGGGTGGCCTAGATAGATGAGGGTATGAAGATTCTTCACAGCAAAGAAAATCTCCCAAAGACCTCCTTTTGTTTTCAAAAATTCCATTTAAAGCCCGTCAGCCACCGGTGGCTGACATGGTCCGAAGTGGACATCTTCGCGTCAGCCACCGGTGGCTGACATTGTCGCGAATGGGTTAAGAGTCCGAATGGTGTTTTACTTGGATTTTTTCAATTTGGCAATACGAAGATCACGGTGGGGAGGGCGAGTTTCTGATAATTGTCTGGTAGTAATTGTAACCATCATCCCTTTCTTTTCCATCTTAATTGGTTAATAAATTATTGAAGTGTTCAGACATTGCCCTTAATGTGAAGGTTCTTTGTTACGCTAATTATTGCTAAATGAAGCGCGCCAAAGCCCCTTATCGGTTCAATTGGAGAATTGACACACCATGACGTGGTTGTTTCACTACTTTGGAGAACTCTGATATTTGGTGCCAAGGGGAAAGGCATTGTTCTTTGTCACACTATAACATATGGAGTGAAAAACGGAGAGATCAGAAAAAGTAGATTTGACCGTAAGCACTCGCGATTACTATGATTCTGGCTCGCAGTCCGGCAATAACGTTTGTCGTTTGAGAAGACTGGCCGATCACAATAGGACCTTCTTGCCCGTTTCTGCTACATGAAAGGTGGCCCGGCCATGTCCAGTTCTAGCAAAATTCTGTGTTTTTTTTTTTATCTTTTCATCGTATCGATTCATTTGAGAAATGAAAGTCCTTAGATAGTAGGGTTAAGGCCCTGATCCATTTTCCACTTAGGTTAGTGCACCTGCAAGATTTTTGACATTTTTTCTAGGTACCCTCTATTTCGAGTAGGTTCAGGCGGAAGGCGGAATGAGGGTTCTTCCGGATTTTGACAATTATCTTGATTTTTTCATAAAGTAACATTTGGCCTCTACTTTTACCTGCTGTGCGTGGAGTTCAACAGTAACTGCCTAATACACAATCAACGCTCCAAGCTATACCGATTCCGTACTGTCCCTGCAAATAAAGAGACCATGACTTCTGTTCCGTGATGCACGATTTCGAAGCCGGTCTCAGCTGTTCATCATCTGGTGCCAACCACGGCCATCTTCTCATTGTGCTATCGTGGGACATCCTTTGCTCAAACGGCTTCACAACGAAGACAAAACTCTATTTTTCTTGGAGATGTGGGCAGAGTCGACCGGAGTGGCAGAGTGCACTCGTGGTGTTCGCTTTACAGGGAGGATGCTCCGCACCGATTGGGCTGATAGAACTAGTTAAATGCGGAGAAGCTGGGGCCTGGTGAATAGTTTGATAGGGTTGATGTCCATGTAGCACCTTCGACGGCCCCAGAGTTTCGTTGTGAATGAGTTGTGGGCCATCGACGTGCGATCCGAATGGTTTTTATTTCGTACTGTTCGGTCTATCAAAGAGCTCCAGGGTCGGTAAGGCAGGTGTCTCGTACCCTGCGGGCGACATTTGAGCCCCTAGAGTCCTTTGAAAAGGAGCGGCGGAACTCATGGCTTGGTATCGTGCACTCTCAGAGACCGTCGGCGTTGCTCGTTGAATGTCTTTGTACATTAACAGGTGACTAAGAAACCAGTGACACTCGCTGTTTCCTCGTTGAAGGCGTGGGGCAAATGCAGCACACGATGGCGAGGCTTTTGGAGCTCAAAGTGTTTTCAAGATTAAAATTTTTGCGCAAAGAGAAGCCACACGTATCCACTGACATTTTACTAGCCTTACTACTGTGCGCTGTGAATAACTGCCTTATGTATGGTACACTACGAACATATGGACATTAGGTTTTAGGGCATATTTTTTCTTCTATCTTTTTCATCGTATCGATTCATTTGAGAAATGAAAGTCTTAGATAGTAGGGTTAAGGCCCTGATCCATTTTCCACTTAGGTTAGTGCACCTGCAAGATTTTTGACATTTTTTCTAGGTACCCTCTATTTCGAGTAGGTTCAGGCGGAAGGCGGAATGAGGGTTCTTCCGGATTTTGACAATTATCTTGATTTTTTCATAAAGTAACATTTGGCCTCTACTTTTACCTGCTGTGCGTGGAGTTCAACAGTAACTGCCTAATACACAATCAACGCTCCAAGCTATACCGATTCCGTACTGTCCTGCAATAAAAACATGACCTTCTGTTCCGTGGATGACCGATTTCGAAGTCGGTCTCAGCTGTCCATCTGCTGCCAACCACGGCCATCTTCTCATTGTGCTATCGTGGGACATCCTTTGCTCAAACGGCTTCACAACGAAGACAAAACTCTATTTTTCTTGGAGATGTGGGCAGAGTCGACGGAGTGGCAGAGTGCACTGTTTGTTCGCTTTACTAGGGAGATGCTCCGCACCATTGGGCCTTACTAGTCAAATCGAGAAGCTGTGAAATTTTAGGGTTGATCCATTCAAACCTTCACCCAAGTTTTTGTGTAGTTTGGCAATGACTCGATTCAACGGTTTTCTTTAGTACTTTGTTATCAACAGCTCAGGTCGGTATGCATGCTCCTCGTCCTCACGACATTTACCTCAGTCTTGGAAGCGACGAAACCATGGCTGTAACTGCCTCAGAGACTGAGCGTTGCTGTTGAATGTTTTGTACATTATATGATAAGAATCAGTGACCGCTGTTCCTTGTTTGAAGGCGTGCCAAATGCACACACGAGGGCGACGTTTTGGACTCAAAGTGTTCAGATAAAATTTTTGGCAAGAGAAGCCACCGTTCCCTGACATTTACTACGTTCTGCTGTGCGCTAGAAAACTGCCTTATGAATGAGTACCCACACATTATGGGACATTAGGTTTTAGCATAGAAAGAATATCACAGAAGTGCGCGACATTTCTTCTCGACCAACGTTGTATATACATTTCTGTATCTTTTTTATCACATTGCAGCCCGCGTGCATCGCCGGGTATGCACGTCGAAACTCCACATCTGACATTTGTGCATCGCCCGGTATGCACATTGATTTCAAGCTCCCCTTATATCTTTTTTCATTACTTCTGTAACTATAGAAGTTCCACTAGTGCCTTGAATCCACTAAACACATGGCTGCTCTCCATCTTCAATTTCAAGATACTTTTGGAACTTCAATTTGCACAACCAGTGCCTCAGTTTGAACCCTCATAAACTGTTTAACAATAAACTCCAATGGCTACTAATTACTGAATATATTTTCTGATGAGAAGCCGAGCAAAAAATAGTGCGAAGCGAAGAAAAAAAACGAGAAAAAGTAGAACAAAGAAAGGACAAAGCAATACGTTGCCAGCCCAATGGGAGGTTGCAGTTGAGATTGTGTGGGTCCTGTGGCGAAATACATGGGTCTTGTAGCGAGATATATGGGTCCTGTAGAGAAATTCCACAAAATGTCCCGAATGTGAGATTTGTGCATCGCCGGGTATGCACGCAGGTAATGCAGCTATGTCACATGTGTGACATGCGCCGAAATCAGTGCGGGCGTCAATGTGTTAATGTGAAATTTTGTATATTGGATAAATTTTGTATATATTGTATTATATTATATTATTGACATAGAGACTGCAGAAAAACCAGGCTCTAGATAAGAATGATTTTATTTTCATAGTCATCCACAACGTTAAACTTCATTCGACAGCTACTCTGCCCAAATTTCTTAACAATATATGGCGGATGTTTGAAGAAATACAATAGTGATCACTGGGTTTTTATATGCACATCATTAGCATCAAATATTATCCTACCGCTAATTTATCCTGACATTCGACGCAAGAAGGTTGTTTACAAACACCGGTTTAGTTCTAAAAGAAAAGAAAAAAGAGAAGAAAAAGAGAAGAGTTTGCGCGTATCATGCTTCAGCGAGAATGGAGCAGCCTATGGGAAAGGTCAGCTACAGTCGATATCCGAAAGTTGGGGTAGGTGTGTCACCGGAAGTGACGTGCACTTGATAGAAGTTGCGTGGATAAGCTGTTGCCAGCATGCTTTGCTGATATCCAGCGATGTATGTTGGAAGCAGCTTATCCACGCAACTTCTATCAAGTGCACGTCACTTCCGGTGACACACCTACCCCAACTTCGGATATCGAGTATAAGCATTTAACGAAGCAACACATTGTGAGCTTTTTAGCAATGGGACCTAAAACGTCCTACAGGCCGTCTAATTCTACCCAAGTCTACTGTTCTGTGCGTGTGGCAGCGTGCGGACCTAAACTGGTCAAGGAACAAAAGATGGGAGGTGCACTAAAATTCATGCGGTTTATTGATCTGTAACTACATTTTCGCTTCGAATCGAATAGTGTGATCAATTTGTGAGATGAGGTTGTCCTGGATAAGATCCTTTCATTTTGCCCATGCCTGCTTAGATGCCATGGACGATGGACCTAACGAATTCTGAAATAGAGATTTTTGTAAAATTACGCAGTAAAATCCAGATTCTTATTGTTAGATGTTTCTTAGCCAGCGCAATGTTCAAGTGGATCAATGAATATTGACGCAGAGTCCTGCATCGAATTCTGTTCGAAACAATTTACCCTATAATTCTTTGCCAACTTAAAAATATCGATACGGTTCCAAAGAGAAAACAGTCAATCCTTCCAGATTACAGTTATCGCTTTACCAGTTTTGCCCTACACGATGACATTCACACGTTAAAGCGAGGGATTACGATAAGATTGGACTGGGTTCATAGTGGAAGTGGAGATGCTGAATAATGCCCCAGTGGCGAAAAAAGCAAAGAAATCCGTCAAGAACGCGCAAAATGGGACCCCTTTCTTTGCCCGTTGACCTCCGATAATGGACGAGCTAGCAACCAATTAAGAGGTCGTTTGCACATGTTAAACCGATAGCCTCTATCATTCAGCAAGCATCATGCTTTGATTGATCACGCATTCCATGAAAAGTTATAGGATACGCACTCGAAGTGGAATACCTCGTCACAATGATAATCGAAGGGCGCTGCTGCTGGGGGCGGAGCATAGGCGGTGGCGGAGCTCAAGCTTTCGGCCCCAAAAACGCAACATTTCGTTTCCTTGGCCCCTGACTACTGCTTCCACTGGTGCATGTACTTCCACGCTTGCACACACACTTTATCGTAATCTCTCGCTTTAAGTGCCTATTGAGGGCTTGGTTATTCAGAAACCTTAGAAGGATGGGATCCAGTTTTAGTTTGTTTCTAGCTCCCCCACAAAAAACGATCTCTTCGATCGATATCTATCGATGATATATGACCCAATTTTTGATTCTAGTTCTTAAAATTTCTACATCTACGGCTCGTGCAGCCTGCTACGAGACTGCATTCGGTGCACTTTTCCGATGGGCAACCACTTATCTGCCTAGAAAGCCAACCACCCCCTTCGTCCAATGTTTTTCTCAGGTTTAGCAAAGTGTATGGATCGGCAGCAAACAAACACGCCTTTCCCCATTGGTTTATTTTTATATATTATGTATGTTTGAGAGGGCGGAAGTGGTGTAGTGGCAAGTGGCACGCTTACCACGCGAGCGGTCCGGGGATCAAATCCTGGGTCGTGAGTCGCCCGGGCCAACCAAGCCGGGGTCGGTTAATTGGTACCAGACTTGTCTGGGAGGATAAAAACACTGACTTGTACATCGGCTGGCCCCCGCAAGTCATTGTATAGGCCACATCGCATTCAAACGCCACTACGAATGTACAAATGGAAGTAGAATGCGTGCCGCATCCCAAAAAGGGATTGATCAACGGCAAATGCTTTATCCTTTTTTCCTTTATGTAGTTCTGAATATAAGGTAAATATTGATTTGAACGCACCTCAGATCTATTTCTAATCATTGATGTAATCTCTCGATTGCAAAACAGCAATGTCCATGGAATAACAAACGAGAGAAATCCAGACATTATGGGATGAATCAACTGCATGATGCCTGGTAGTTTCATCTAAAAATACCGTATTTTCATTTTCAGCGTACTTTAGACATTCATATTCAGTAGAACAAGCCACCACTAGGGGCCAATTTGTCGCCAAGTCAGGGGTTTTGACCAAACCTCCAATTGAATGAAGGCGGTTTTCGGCGTTTGCGATAGGCCAGTCCTAGGAGCACTGCTTGGGCGAAGAACAATAATGGGCAAAAATATATGAGGTCTTGCTTTTTAGGCTAAACTATAAAGCGTTGATCGTGGAGTTTTTTTCCAACGATATTGCTGGGAAGTTTATTTATTTATTTATTTATTTCTATACGTCCAGTGGACGCGCTTGGTAGGCATACAGAGCATATTCGAATAGAAATACTATCAGACGCTAAAAAGGCAGCAGTCGTCCTCAGTTGAGTCACAATAATTGATGGGTCAACGTCCGACTTAACCAACTTGTAAAGGATAAAAACGAGAGGGGGCAGTTCAAAAGATTTATTTTTTTGAACTCTGGGTCATACACTAGGTTGATCAGTGAATTTGTGTACAGATTTGGAAGTAACAAAGAGCATTGCCATGAGCCATAAGGTTAGTGCCTCAAAGATAACCCTACTGCGAGGCCGCAGCCCTACTAGGGCGGGCGTAGAAACACCTCTTTGATCTAAATACGAACCCTAGGAGCTGGCTCGGGGGCGCTTGTGAGGATAGCTAACCATGCGATGTCATAAATTGGGCTCATTTAAAATGGCGTACTTGGTTGGGAAGATCCCACACTTTTGCGCCGTCGAAGTCCGCCCACCGCAAAAACTTACAGTGTGAAACATGTGAAAAGGTGAAACATAAATCTAAAATCGGAGACCGGTTAGTTGAGCCGCCCGTCCCCGCGTCTGACAAGCTCCGCCGGGTGTCCAACATTCAGCATCCGCTAGGTCCGGCGGCCCCAATTCCTTCCCTAACGTTCACACATACGTCCTGCAGCTCCTCTACTTTAACTTCTAACCGTTCAGATATAATCGATTGCAGGCATGCCAATTTGGAGAGCAAATTCGAGATCAGCGTCAGAAAGCCTATTCAACTGTTTATTGGCCTATAGCCACCCCAACCCAACACCCTTTCCTGGTTAGAATTGATCGGCTCAGATCGATCGGAATTACATCAGCTTTTTAGTGTAAAATATGGCTGAAGAGTGAAAAAAAGAAAATATTTGTATGAACTCACTTTAAGAAGTATGAGGATGCATTCAGTGAGATAAAATGAGAAAAGGAGGAGGAAAGCGAAATTAAATGCAGCCACTTGAATACACAACTGAATTTCACGTGCCGCCTTTTTTGAATTGCAGGCTGAAAAATTCCACATGAATTGGAAAAGGGGATGGCCCACTGCAAACAGATGCACCATTGCGTCAAAAATTTGAAGGCGGTGAGAACGTTGGACTAGGAGACGGGTCGTGGGTGTCCAGGTAGGAAAACCGGGTTTGGCCCGCATTCCCAACGCGCTTAAAGGTGTGGCCCACTGCCTAGATTGCATCCAACAAAACCTAAGGCAAATCTAAGACCGCGTGATAGGTGACGCCTGAACTGGAGCCCACGATAGAAAGGAAACAGCCAAGGGAACACAAAGGTTGCACACGTCTTCTCAGAATCCTTTCCTCCATCCGAGCTCTGTAAGTGCCTCACTCACTTCAGTCCCCCTAACAACATGAGCGTCCCCCTTCGATTTTTTCCCCAAAAAGTTTATCCCAAAGAAGGGCATAATTGTGAAATACGTGTGAATGTGAAGCATAATCACATGGTAGGCCGTTGGGCGGAAGTAAGCAAACCAGCCCTTTTGGCGTTTCTGCTGGGGCCGTATGCTGAATGTTGGGGAGGGGATGGGGTCCCCGACGGTCGACGGACTACTTCAACTCGGTCCTTAAAACCGCCTCAATTTGATGCTTACCTCAGGACTAAGCCCTAAAGAGAGGACGGACCTGCGCTCTCTCGCAGGTCCGTCTCTCCAAGGCTTAGTCCTGGGGTAAGCAAACCAGCCCTTTTGGCGGAGCTGCTGGACCTAGCTGCACCACTTCGTCATCACTCTCCTACCGTACCGACCGAGTTCAAGTAGTCCGTCGACCTCGGGACCCATCCCCTCCCCAACATTCAGCATACGGCCCCAGCAGAAACGCCAAAAGGGCTGGTTTGCTCACCTCGTGGGCGTGCTCGCCGATTAGCAAATTGTTAGTTGGCATGTAGCGAGATAGGCAGGAAATGACTCGATACATTTTCTATCAGCCGCTTTTATTGGAAATACGGTGGCATCCCTTGGGACTTGTAAGCCTTCGAAGGTGCAGAAACTGAGGCAAAAAAAAAATGAGATCCCGCACCCTATAGACTTCCTACCCCGTCTAAGCCATGGTCCCCTTTGTAATTAAAAGGAGATACTCTACACTGTTTTAAATACATTGCCACCACGATGCCCCCGTATCTTGCGAAAGCGCCGAAAATTCCTTTGGGTCGAAGTCTAGAGAAGTTCACTATAGAGGTCAAATAAAATAAAAAAAATTAGTACCTGGTTATGTATCGCTTGCCAAAAATTTGCCTTAATACAACAACATAGCAAAAAATACATATCAGGAAGGTTGGAAAGACGGAAACATAGGAGACACCGACAAGTATCTTGTCGTGGGTGGTCAGTAGGAAATACCGGGTTTAGGCCGGCATCCCAACGACGCTAAAGGTGTCGCGCACTGCCTAGGATTGCACTACAAAATAGGGCATCTGAAGACCGGTGATAGGTAACGCTGGAAGTGAGCCCACGATGGGAAAGAAACGCCAAGGGGACACAAAGGTTACACACGTCTTCTCAGAATCCTTTCCTCCAGCCGAGCTCTGTAAGTGTCTCACTCCGTTCAGTCCCCCTCGAACCAACGATTGAGTCGCCCCTTCGATTTTTCCACAAGAACGTTTATCCCAAAGAAGGGATAATTGTGAATATACGTGTGAGTGTGAACGCATAATATTTGGTAGGGTAGGCGGGAGTTAGAAGCACCGAGCCCTTTTGGCGTTTCTGCTGGGACCGTATGCTGAATGTTGGGGAGGGGATGGAGATCCCCGACGATCGCGGACTACTTCAACTCGGTCCTTAAACCGCCTCAATTTAATGCTTACCTCAGGAAATAAGCCTTGGAGAGAGGACGACCGGCGGTCTCTCGCGGGTCCGTCCTCTCTCAAGGCTTAGTCCTGGGTAAGCAAACCAGCCCTTTTGGCGGAGCTGCTGGACCTAGCTGCACCACTTCGTCATCACTCTCCTACCGTACCGACCGAGTTCAAGTAGTCCGTCGACCTCGGGACCCCATCCCCTCCCCAACATTCAGCATACGGCCCCAGCACAACAAAAGGGCTTTGTTTGCTCACTCTCGTGGGGCGTGCTCGCCGATTAGCAAATTGTTAGTTGGCATGTAACGAGATAGGCAGGAAATGACTCGATACATTTTCTATCAGCTGCTTTATTGGAAATTTTTGCGCGAATCACAAATACGGTGCATCCCTTGGGACTTGTAAGCCTTCGAAGGTGCAGAAACTGAGCAAAAGATGAGATCCCGCACCCTATAGACTTCCTACCCCGTCTAAGCCATGGTCCCCTTTGTAATTAAAAGGAGATACTCTACACTGTTTAAATACATTGCCACCACGATGCCCCCGTATCTTGCGAAGCGCCGAAATTCCTTTGGGTCGAAGTCCTGGATTCACTATAGAGTAGAATAAAATAAAAAAAAAAATAGTACCTGGTGATGTATCGCTTGCCAAAAATTTGCCTTAATACAACAATAGCAAAAAATACATATCAGGAAGGTTGGAAAGACGGAAACATAGGAGACACCGACAAGTATCTTGAAAAAGATCAATTTTGAAGTTGTCTTATTTTCAAATAATCATCAGCATTGTTGAGGGGAACTTGTTTAGCATAGAGAGATGTTTGGCTTTCATGTCTTTTTTGTTTTTTAGTGAACTTATTCGAACACGTACTGAAGTGGGGATCATTCGGTGTTGATCACTCTCGCTTTGGGAACGCCACGCATTCTACTCCTATCAGAATCGCAGCAACATTTCGATGCTGATTCCCTTAATCAGTGGCTTGTGGAGCCATCGATGTACAGGTCAGTGCAATCTTACGAAACTGTTGTTGAACTTATTCACCAGCCACAATGTGAAAGTTTTACTAAGTCTGGGTTGCGCCAAGGCCTTGCCTTGTGTGCCGTGCTGCCATCTTTATCAATAGGGGCATACGTGGCGTCTGCGCCCTCTCACGTACGACGTGCTCTCTCGCGTTTTCCCTCTCCTCGCAGCGCTGTGTCTCTCCGTCATACACGTCGACCTTGCCAAAGGGAATTTCAGCGTTTTTTATGGTGTTTTGGTTTTTCTTCCCACAAACATGGCATCGCACTTCCTGTCTAACTCCGAGCAAAATAGCCCACCAATTTGATACCGACCAGTGCCTTTAACACATTGACGACAATGTGGGTCCCCCACCCCCAAGTGAGTCATATTTGTGTTCTGGAAGGAAGGCGATTTTGGGGGGCGGAGTTGGGGTGTTGAAGGGGTGTCAGTACTGCAGCTACAGACATGGTGATGGGAAGTTGAGGGTCGTACAAGGCCCTGCAGGGATGAGCAGTAACTTTATCAAGGTCGCATCTTCGATATGATTGTGAAACAATTCCTTACAAAAAAAGGTATCTCGACAAACACTACTCCCAGAAATTCCAGATTTTTGCGGAGCAAATTTCTTGGGAAAACTTGGAAAATAATTAGAGGACATTGACAGGAAATATGCACTCGGTTACTAAGTTTTCACGGAAAACATGCTCACTTGGTAAGCTTCTTTTTCTTGGACGTAACTTTTCTTGGCTCTGCAAAAAGGTGAAATTCTGAGGAACAGGCACCTAAACCTTTTCGTAAAAGTAATACGGGTAATGAGCTTACTCAAAAATTCAATAATCCTCAAAATATAATTATAAAGAGTTGTGGTGTACGATAAATGAGTCATGGCATTGTCATTTACAATGGTGGGGAGGGGAGGGGGGAGGGGCGTGATGCGGCAACTCCTGTAATTTTGTGTTACTACTTATCTACTCCCATAGAACTTTTGCAAACATTCGTCAAACTCGTCGAAAAATCCGTTAACTCCCGTCACTTACAACTTCCTTCTTGACCACTTCACACTTTTAGCAGAGGTAGTCAAACTTGCTTTCTTAACCCCAGAATGCGACCCCTCCTCCCTCAAAAAAAAAAACAAATGCGACCTCCTCATTCAAACAGTGCGAAAGGACCGTTGACCGTGCTCCCCCCCAATCGAGCGGGGAAGGTGTGTGTAGTGTATATGTATGTATAACTTTTGGGAAGGTCAAATGCTGTAATTTTATTCATTCCATGCGCTTTCCCTTGAAACACGTAGTAATTTGCTCTCTCCCATCTCCAAATGACAAAAGAAGCTTTTCTCTCGCACATATATCTGAACAAATTAAGAAAGAAAAACCATTATAAACAAAATAATTGATACGGTTCGTTTCGCTCCTTCCTCAGACGAACCTTATTATTTCGTCAATCCCCGGAGCTCATCAGTGAGTTGGGATTGGACGAAATAAAGACACAGGGGAAAGACGAATAAACCTTGATGTGACGTACTTATCATGCAGCCCGCAGACTGCACGAGCTACCGTCCAATTCGTCTACTTTCCCACGCCATGAAGATATTTGAGCGAATTATAGATCGTCGTATTCGCGACATAGTGCAGCTCGCCACGAACCAGTGTGGATTTGTAAGCGGCGTTAGTACCATCGATGCACTACATGCCGCTCGTCTACTGTTAGAAAAACACCGCGAGAAACGGAAGCCTCTGCATTTTGCCTTCCTAGACTTAGAAAAGGCTTTCGATCGCGTTCCGCGTGATGTAATATGGTACGCTCTGAGACAACGTGGCGTCCCCGAAGAACTTATTGAGTGGGTTCGCATGCTATACTCGAGCTCAAAGAGCCGAGTGCAAACGTCAGCAGGAACCTCAATGGAATTCCCCATCTCTGTAGGGGTGCACCAAGGCTCTGCACTATCCCCACTCCTTTTCGTTGTCGTCATGGATGCCATATCACGAGACCTCCAGAAACCGGCTCCATGGACGCTCCTCTATGCCGATGACGTGATGCTCGCCTGCGAAGACAAAAACTCACTCGAGCAGCAAGTGCAAGCTTGGGCCGATCGCCTAGCGATGTTCGGACTCAGGTTGAATGTCAAAAAGACCGAGTACTTGACAACCGACTTGAGCGAACACAGTTCGGTAAGAATTAACGGCACAGAGCTATCACGCACGACCACGTTCAAGTATCTTGGATCGGTAATAGCGTCAGATGGTAGTATGGGTACTGAAGTGAGTTCACGCGTGAGTGCTGCATGGTCCAAGTGGCGTTCTATGACGGGTGTTCTCTGCGACAAAAAGATTCCAGAACGCCTGAAATCGAAGATCTATAGAACCGTCATAAGACCGGTGGCAATGTACGGCGCTGAGTGCTGGCCCACGACTAAGGAAATGGAAGCCCGCCTCGGTGTAATGGAGACGAAAATGCTGCGCTGGACGGCTGGTGTCACGCGTTTAGATCGTATTTGTAATGATACCATACGCGATCGCTTTGGTGTAGCTCCTATTGCTGATAAGATGCGGGAAGCTCGACTTCGATGGTATGGTCATGTGCTTCGTGGAAACGATGTGCCCGGTAAACGGCCTAAGGGACGTCCAAAGCAGCGCTGGCTTGATACATTGCATATGGACTTAAAGTTAGCTGGTATCCATCCCGATCAGGCATTCAATAGGGAAAAGTGGCGTCAACACATCAGAAAAGCGGACCCTGCCACCAGGCGGGACAAACGCTAAAGAAAAAGAAGAAGAGCAAAGACCAATTAATTCTTACGATAGAAGTGAAAGGCGGGGTTTGGGGCGGGGCGTGGCGCTACCTGAATGGCTGAATAAACGCTGACCAATTTTCCGCAGCTATACTTTATCGAAGGTCAATGAGAAGACGGAATGTTGGAAAATTTTCTAATGATTCATTTCGAGCTTACCTTGTAGCTATCCGGTGTAAATATTAGCGCGTGTTCACGGTTAGGTCCCAATTTCGGTGTGTAGCGACCATTACAACCGGGAAACTCAGTATGGCTGCCACAATCCAATGTACAGTTATGATGACCATAGCAGGAACCCTGTTCATCCACTGAAAAGGGTAATTTTGGATGTGGATCCAGCTCATATATAATGAGTTCCATTTGACATCGGCCGCCGCCAAAAAGGATCGCCGGCGCTGCTGGATTGTATGGAGGTAGTATGTGGGAACTAGTGCGCCTGTGACGAAAGCCTGGGGACAGTCGATAAATATTGTTGGGGCTATGGACGGGGACGTTATGAAGGCTATACATTAAAACCGCGTAAAACATGTGTTTTTTGACAAAAAACGGGACTGAGCCCTATAGGCGGTGTGGCTGGGGAGCCTCCAGGGTGCGTGAGCCATTTCCAGAAGCTTTCTGCCCCTATTGGGCTAGGCTCTGAAGGGATTTTTTTTGCTTCTTATATTGCGATGCCTACAGCTTGGCTAGGCTACTATCTCGCGGGACCTGCATTGCTAGATAATGATACTTCCACATTACGAACTTCCCAAAAAACTGTTTCTTTTGAAGGACGTTTCCGGTAGAAGGCCCTCCATAGTTGGAAATCGTGATGCAATGCTATACTAAGTTATTACGAACACGAAGAATCAGTTTGAAAACGCAATAATTTTTTATCTGCGTTTTTTTATCTGAAAAGTACTTTCACCACATGTTTTTCCGCTGCGTTTCATTTTTACCCAATGAAATTTTGCCTTATCATCTTTTCCAGTTGCTTAGGTGATGGCAGAAGTAAAATCGCTGTCAGACTTAAAGGAAAAAATCCTAGCAAAAAAGGTACGAGAATTGTCCGTAGTGTCGATCACGTCTGAATTTTGGTATCGGTTTCACTACATTTCGTACATTGTTCCGATGAGTTCTGACAGGATTAAGATACATCTGCAGGATTCCTGACCAATATAAGTGGCATTTCACAAGGAAATAATACAATAGTTTATTAAAGGACGAATTCACGATGAAAAAGCAACCCATTTCAAATTAACCTAGGGATGGTGAGTGGTACACGAAAGAAGGAAGAACCATGAGAAACGGCCCAGAACCCGAGAAATGGTACCCCTTCCTTGCCCGTTGATTCGAGCATTGATGCGACTCTCATCGCTGTGCCCTCTTCAACACTACGCTCTCTCAGCTATCCACGTATTGAACTACGGCGAGTGATCAGATGATCGGTGGGCGGAGATCGCCGGACCCGCCAGCTTTGAGGCATGATAGGTCGCCGAGGTCAAATTTTTCCATGCGAATTGCGCGTCAGTTCGCACCCTCAGGAGGTCCGTGGGTCCCTCAACTAGGTCAGTTTCCCTTTCTTCGACCTTCATTCTAATCGTGAATTCCTCCTTTAAGTCAGGCAAGGAAATCAAACTTTTTCGAAAGTTAATGTCCCAGTGGACACAGTTTACGTGTGTTCCAAAACCTTCATGATAGTCCATGCCTGGAAAATAAGTAAAACACTTTTCTTCGAAAATAAATCATAGAGGAAAATAAGCCACATCTCTAGAAAGTTCGCCAAATTTTTTTTTCAAAAAGTTTTTTTTTTGGAAAAAAAAAAAAAGGTGACACTTTTTCATATGTCACTTGTGATTTGTGTCTTTCTTTCTTTTACGTTTTCTTTGTCGGGGCGCTTTTTCCTCTTTATCGAACAAAAAGATTAGGAGTGTGGTCGGAGGCTTCATATATCACAGATAAAAAAATAAGTTTCACCATCTAAACCCCCTTGAGCTTAGAGTGGTGGGTGTCTATAGTTTCCCTTCCGGACTGCGCAGACATTGTTATATCCTAACCTCTAGGAATAACCATGTCGAATTTCACGGCTTACCGTTCAGCCTACATCTCGAGGTGCGCCTAGAGCTTCACCGAGTGCCTAATCTTTCGCACAGCTGGTTCACACAGCCGGCAATAAACAACGCACCTCTTTAGAATCTTGACCGCTCCATTAAAATGTAGCGACCCCGAGCAATTTTCAACGCTACGCTCCTTGCCCCACTTTTGCTAGGATTTTTTCCTTCAGGAAGTCCCTCAGTGATTTTACTTTCGCTATTACCCAAGGAATTGAAAGCAATAATAACTGCGAAATTTGCTCAGGCAAAAATATTGTTCAGCGAATAAACATGTCGGTGGAAGTCTGATTTTGGGACCCTGTAAGGGGTGTGATGGCCAAAGCCAAACTTTAACATTGAAGGTAAAAAATTATTGCGTTTTCAAATTGAATCTTTGTTCAGGTATTTAGTATTGTGTCTAAACAAGCATCAGATTTCTACCACAGAGCCTTATTCGGAAACGGCTTCGGATGGAAGTTACGGGAAATTTGTAGGATGAAGTATAATTATGCGAGGCAGTGTATACGGCTTCAAAACGGTACCCCAAAAGGGGATTTATAACCCTTCGGAAAGAACGTCACCGATGTCACATCGCACGCATCTCCGGGCATTTCCCATCGCGCCCGTGGTGCATATCGTCATCACGGCGGGCATGACTCATCGCGTTGCCGCGCGTGCATTGTGCCGCATGACACCTTCAGACTTATGCTCGTTAGTTCATGAAAATACACTCTTAAAAACATTCCTACCGTAAATGCAGGTGACGACCACCAACAGACGGCGATATATCGTTGCAGTGATATGAACATTATACCCAAACAGCGTAAAGCCAAACAATAGCTCAGAATCCTCACTGCTATGTCCACCACAAATCTAATAGGAGCCGGATTCATAATTATTTTCTCAGTGAAGTAGAGATTTCCGATTATAATAAGAGTTACGTAGTCAGTCAGGTATAATAAATCGGCAAATCCCTGGAATCAAAAGAATAAAGTGCATAGTAATAAATAAATAAGTTTTTAACTGTTTTTGATTGTTAACTGCTGTTTTTGGCCGCAGTTCGCCTTGCGAATGTTTCACAAGAATGCTGGGTTGTGAACAAAACTTTCGCCCCAGGCGGGACTAGAACCCGCACCTCTCGCTTTCCGGGCAAGTGCGCTACAGTTACGCTACCGAGCAAGATGAGTTGGGATGAAATGGTGCCCCGGTAGCGTAACTTGTAGCGCACTTGCCCGGAAAGCGAGAGGTGCGGGTTCGAGTCCCGCCTTGGGCGGAAGTTTTGTTCATATGCGGTCTTGTTGGATAAAAGCAAATGTTTTCCAATCAGTTTTAGGCCTAATTCTTTCTCACTGGATTTATATAATCACATTAAATACTTGTGCACTTGCTATTCAGAGTGGATGGTGATTTGGTACTTCTTCATGCATCGCACCAGGTCTTGAGTTGGGTTGCCGTAAAGGGCGCTTTAGATCAATGGGTATGCAGAACCCTTTGCGGCTACAGACGGGAACACCGAGATTTAGACGACTTGAAAAATCCGTATAACGAGGGAGAAGCTATTACAAGTTTGACGTTGGCGATTTTACCGCTATTGTGGGATCAGCTGCCGACGGTGATTAGTATGCCACCGTTTCCGCGGAAATTCCATGTCCGATCAGCCGACATCAACAATGGCAACAAAGTCTACGAAGCAAAGGCTTAAAAGCGAAGGTAGGGCTCGATTCGGGGTATTATGGCGCTTGAAACTGAGTGTAGAGATGCGAAGTGGAACGACAGTGAAGAAAAAACGAAAAGAAACCGTCGACAAGGCCGAAAATAGAAGCCTCCCTCTTAACACAGCAGCAAAGATGGCGAGGATACCTTGAAGGCTTGTCCGAATGAGATTTCGGAATTGCTAGCCATTGCTGGCTCGGGGCCGGCAGCATACGGTAACCAACCCAATTTCAAGCAACCACCACCTTCTCTCACGATGGACGATCATAACTAACCCATAGGTGGCGGCAGCTAACAATACTTCCCCAGGGGCCCTATCATCGCACTGCTTTGACTTACGAGCGTAGTGTATTTTCTGGGAACTTAACCACGCACAGAGGTTGTGGGAGTGATTGGTCAGGTCGCCTAATTTCGACCTTTACCTTTAAGGGGAGATGACGATTTGAAAATCTCCTCCGATACGTGGCTCTGCCATGATTTCTTCGCCGTATGGAATTTCCGAGTCACAGGCTGCCTAAATCACGGAGTCGCTAGAAATAGGGCCGCATTAAGGAGCTGTGCTGTCCTCCGAGAAGATCCTCTGACGTAAGAGCCAGCCGAAGTCAAAGTATGGAAGTGAGAACTGGGAGCTCAGTTCTATTGAAAGTCCAAAGTTAAGCATAAAAATGGTTTTCTAACTACGGCGTTAAAAATTTGGAGTGTAAAACTGGGTTTTTACATTTGCTCATTTTGGGGTTCGAAGATCTCGAAGATTGCGAGTTTCGGCATTTAGTATTTGTGCGGGTGGTAGCTGCAGCCCTCAAATCTCCATCTTTTCCATCTGAGCTGGCCTTAATGGGGACGAAAAGAGGCTCAGAAAAAATGTGGTGGTGAGGTGATGCGGAATTCGAGATTTGCCTAGCGCAATAGATGACTCTGACTAATTTTGCCCATCGTGGACTGTGCCTTTAAATTTGCTTACAAAAGTCGCGGCACAATAATGGCGAGTACTGTATGTGCTTACAGAGAATGCGAGTGTAATTGCGTGGATTTTACCTGGAAAATAGGTGGATTCAGAAGTAAATTGAAAAATATTC